AGTGCATTTATTTATTTTGTATTCATTTGTTTATTTTGTCGTAATTTGAGTGACGTTTCTTCGGAAACCGGCTTTGTGCGTAAATAATCTCTGGGATGTAGTTAAAATGGTGGTGGTGTGTGTGGTATTAGGCCCAGCAGTGGGGGGCCTGAGTGAAGGTCAGAGGTGTGTCTGTAATGTAAACACCATAAAGGTCTTAGATGTGGAGGGGAGAGGGAAAAAGAGAGGCGGCCTATCCGGTCCCAAGTATCCTTTTCCAACTAATTGTAAAAACAAGCGGTAGATCTGTGCCAATTACAAAAAGAATGTCGATGTCAGTGCAGCTTTGAATATGATACTTTGTAAGCTCCTGTTCAAGTCGTAAAGTGTAATTTTTGCCGCTTTACAAGGCCTGTGTTTTACTGTAAAAAATAATACCGCTTTAGAATATTGTGCATGAGCTTTACCATTTTATATATTACTTGTTTGTGCTACCTTGAAATGATAATACAGGCACACACACACACACACACACACACACACACACACACACACACACACACACACACACACACACACACACATATAGGCCTATCTTACAAAGTACATGGACATGTTGCATAGCCACCTCTGTTCATCAGATTGTATCACGTACTTTGCTGCCTCACAAGCCTTCCAATTATCTCTGCATTGATCTAACAGTGCTCGAGCCACAGTATATTGTGCACTGCTGTTCTGTTTTCTAAATCCCCTGCGAGTATAGCTTTGGCTCTAAAACAGCAAGAATTTTTTTTGCAACAAACATTCCCTAAATATTCTGGTCCATTCCTTGTCTGAGGGTTTTTACATTTGGTACCCCCTGTTTGGCAAGGATTAGCCACAGACCACTAAATAATTTGACTTGAACCATAAAACCCAAAGGTATGTGCAGAGTTCATTGTCGACTACAGATGTTTTTATGCCAGGTTTTCTATCTGCACCGCAGAACTAGCATATCCAGAGCCCGCCAGCACCTTAGATATGTGTCATAAGCTTATTAGGTGTTGATTCATGTGCAGTAACTGGTAGTAAAGTGTGTGGGTGTTAGGTTAATGCTCATGGAGAGTTGATCCTTGTCCTGTGGCTTGGGCTATTTCCAAGTCTGGCACCAGCACTAGATCAAGCCATTCTGCTGCAAGGGGTTTATTTGGCTCCACAGCACCCATGTCAGACATGTATCCTGGCCCAGCCATTTTGTGTCCTCAAATGCTCCGGCCCTTCTCCGTGAGCTGGCTTGCTGTTTGGAAACCAGGAGAGTGGAAATAATAAATCAGAAACACTGACCCACTAAAACTATGGGAATAGTTTTCGTGGCACTAGTGCAGACACATAAATAACTTTCATAGTAACAGAGCTTAAACTGAAATATGCTCTAAGGACAGCTCGATTTCACTTTTGGCTATTATGCCAGGACACCAGCTGATCACACAGCCAAACTGCAATGGGGCTTTATGTGCACTTTGTATATTATAATGCATTATGATATTTTTATTATAGCCACAAGTAAAATCTATTGTGCAAAATAGTGCTGATGCACTGAAAGTGGAAAATTAATAAATTACAGAGGACGTCTGAGGGACAGGCTCAGAGGTCTGACAGCAATTGCAGAGCCTCCAAGGAAAGCCCAGCAATGCCAAATGTGTCTGCCCAAACAAACACATTCTACATGTCTTTTGAGAAGAAGAAGAAATAGTATATCTAACAGTACTCAATTATCCAGAGTGATCAAGAGTGGCCTTGGGTCCACCAGATCATGTAAAGTACCTGAGAGCTTTTGGAGCTAGATTGTGAAATCATGTGTTGATCAGCTAGTAGATGTCCTGCTGTGCAATGCAGCATGCATCCATGTTATGCCTATGAAACTCAGGATATCCTGCTTGAGGCACTGCCACCCTGTTCCACTTACATCTGTCATCATCGCATGCCTCGGGCTGCTGGTCAGAGCCCTCATGGGCTCACTTCCCCCAGGCAGTGTAGACGGTCGGCACTTTAGACAAGCAGCAGCTCAGCTAAGGGTGCCAGCACTTTAACCCCACAATGCACTGTCTCTCAGAGAGAAAAGCAACAAACTGTAAGTGAGAAGATAGTTGATTACAACAAAGCATTCATAATATTCCCCTCATCCACAGGGGACCGTGTCTGAGCACCATTATGTGCAAGTGAATCCTATACTTGGTGACAGGCAGGCTACTGGTGGTGAAAATGGGCACTTCCTCCACTGTTGTTCTCAGCAGTGCATGCTAACACCTACGGCAGTTCTCAGTGATCACACATATCTGTGGCAGAGCCTCATGTTTATCGGTCTGAGAATGACACAACAGCCGCCACAGTTCTCACTGACGAAGAAAAAAAGTCTAAATATTTCTGCACCTAAGCAACAGTCCAGTTTTTGAGAAAAAGAAAACCACAAAACACATATCTGGATGCAGAAATCAAAAACATAAATCTGACAGTTTTGGATAAAAATATAGTCATGTTATGAAAAAAATACATTTTTATGTAGAGATGTAAATCCATCCACATATTTCTTGTGATATGGTTTCAAGTGATGAGAGTGGAAGTAAATGCGGCCATTGCCAGGAAAGAAGAGCCCCGGTGACAGGGGAAGATGAAAGGCATGATGCTGGGATTCAGGAAGCAGCAAGGACAAGGAGGAAACAACATGATCAATATGTGTGACGTGGAGTCAGCACTTTTCGATTCCTTTGGCTCAGTATTACTGGGTAATGTAAACATCAAATTCAACATGGCTCTGAACATCTTTAGAACCTTTGAATCTGCTTGAATGAGAGTAACTGCAGCAGCTGCATCACTGCATGGTGTCCGGGCTGCGCCATGCTGAACTGTAAAACTATACAGCAGGTGATGTAAACAGCACTGTTTTTCAGCAGCAATAAATGGCCATCCCTCTAGGACATTTACCACAGGAGGTGCGTGAAGGAGAGCAATAAAGTCAGGCAGGACCAAAAGCAACCCAGTTCTCAACTTTGCTTTCTTCTTCTTCTTCTGTTTTTTTTTTTTATATAATTTAAAATCGCTGCTAGAATTTAATTTGCAGAGCTAGCAGGTTCAGAACAGTATAACCATCAGTCTGGTAAATTAATAACTGAATATCGCCTTTGCCCATTCCACCTTCAGTACCTGTACTACTATATACTAATTTTAATGTACCTTTGTTTGTATGGTCTGTTGAAGTCAACAAAACAAATGCAGTTCTTATTATATGTGACTTAGACTTTAGTGATCTTTAGTCTGCATTCACTCTCTGACTTTATAAATTCCTTTTTCAGCTTCATTTTTTAAAAATGTATTTTATAAATGTATTTTTTTAAATAATTACTCGTGGTTGGGCGTTAGGACATGGAAGCTGTTCCTGGACTTTATAAGCCACGCACACGCAAACACACATTGAAGACAGTTACGTGAGTTGTTACATGATCCGCTTCTTGACTAGGGTGCGGCGAGACCAAGCATGTTTTTATTCACAAAAAATCTTAAAGAGAAATCCTGGACTTGTACTGTTTTCCCTTCAGAACCTCGCCAGGAGCAGCAATGTGGAGATCCAGTTGCTTATTAAAGTTCCTCTAGTTCCCTCTTCTGGAAGAATCAGGAAGGACATGTCTACTCGTCACACGTGGGTCCTTGTGATATAACAAAGCAACAGTACTAAAGCCCACAGGGTTACATTGCTTCAGAGCAGCATAGAGCTATTCAGCCATAAATCCCTGCGTGCCTGCCAGAAAAATGCATTTTTATGCAGTAGTTGAGCTTATTCCAGCAATCGTGACAAAGAAGCCTTTTGTTGTTTCAAAGGAACGAACGGGGGAAAAATACACAAGCATAAGCAACTTATGGCTCTCAACCCTTTCAGGTGATTTAAAATTTGAATATTGGACAGAGAACCTGCTAAACAACTGGGCTTGAAAAATACATAGGTGTGCGGTTATCAAGTACCCTGGAACACCTGATGTAGTTACTGTGTCGTTATGTTCATTACACAAACCCTTACCTCAGTACACTATGTCCATGGCGCTTCAAGTGTCGATTTGAGTTAATGGCTTGCGACTTATTTTCTTGGATTAATAATTTCAAATGTATGTAATATTTCTCACCTATAATGCTATTGGTTAGAAATAAAGCCTCGCTTTTCACATTCATAAAGCTTCACGGTATATTAGTTTATAAATTTAACTGAATCCACACTTAGCGCTAATGAAATTGGGGAAACTTTATTTTGAAAACGACGCTTTTATTTTGTCAAGTCGTATCGGATAACGAGTAGCTAGCTAGATTCTAAAGTGATTATCCCGTACGATACAGGATTGTATTGATTTTATCAAACATGTCGGTTAGGCAGACGTGGTGGACAGTTTGCATCTTTACATTGATGCTTCGAATATAACGAATTAGCTTTTGTTTCTTATTCCGACACGGTCAAGCCTCTGAAGCTATGATTGTTAGCTTGGTTAGCTTTATATATACGTATATATGTGTGTATCCAGCAGTGTCCGAACACCAGATAGTTGCAGCGAAAAGCCCAACGTTAGGCAAGATATAACCGGAGAACTAATGTGTTTAATCCTAAACGACAGGTTAACAGCGTAATTATTACCAGTGCTGACATTGGGAGAGAGTATGATGAAACATATATACGTGTACTTGAAGCCGTATGTGCGCAGCGCTAACGTAACCGGTCCCATGGTGTAATGGTTAGCACTCTGGACTTTGAATCCAGCGATCCGAGTTCAAATCTCGGTGGGACCTCGTCCTTTTAATCGATGCGTTGTGATTCCTGTCGTGCCTAAATTATGCGTTCAAAGGCTGAGATGTACCAAATCAAACCGGCAGCCAGATGTTTGCAATTAGAACGTCACAACTAAGCTATCACCTGTTCTTTGTAAGTAACACAGAGAAGATGATCCTTTAAACTGAAATTGTCTCAAGATGTGCCTAACTTATAACTTTAATTATGAAGACACTACTTGGTTTCAGAACACTTGCTTTAATGTTCTTGTCAGATATGACATACATCATTCTTTTCACCACCTCAGACATCTAAAATATATTACTTCTTGTACATAAAAATCCAATATGACAAATAATAATTGTGCTGAAGTCACCTCGATACTGTTTCAGTGTACAGAAAAAACACAAATAGCAAAATGAAAAATGTATTTCAAAAAAGAAAAAACAACAGTTCAAAATATCACAATAGTCTTTGGTTTTAAGTGAAACAGTTCACTCATGAAGTGATTATTAACTAAAAACTTCTCTATGCGCTTTTATTATGACATTACCAACATAAGAAAAGTTGTTCATATTCATGTAATGCTTATGACCTCTTAACTTACTGCATGTTTGTTAAAATCTATTTTAAGATTATATTTTACATTACAAAATTTTTTGCTAGATAGTCTGCATTTTAAATTCTGGTTAACATAATGCTCTATTGTAGTTAGACCTTTATTAGTATTCATGCTGTGAGGACAAAACTGATAATGTTTCACATTTATATGTAATGAGTGAGTTAAACTGCAGCCACACCTTTGCCTTAGATCATCAGAATACACACTTTCATGAATCTACTTGCTTTACTCTTTCCAGTGTTTCATAAGTGCAACTATACCAGTTTACCCTTGAACACATGACTCTTACTTCCTGCCACATTCTGAGCCCTTTTTCTTCAGCTTTTGATACTGATGTATGGAAAATGTTAGGAAAATAACATGGATGCTTGCTCATGCAGTTTCAAAAGTTTGTTCATCATGTGAACAGTTTGAAAAATGATAACATAAATGATTTTAACAACAATAATAAAAATAAAAGATACAAACACAAAACCAATTAAATCTCTTTTTCAGTCTTATTCAGCAAATATCACCAAGTTTCGGTCAATCACTGGCTATTCCTCTAAATAATACTTTGACCTACAGAGCAGTGATTTGTCAGAATTAGATTCTCTTATAAAAACAGTCATACAGCCAAGCACAGTGATGCAAATTGTATAAACACAAACAAAAATGGTATATACACACACTTCATGAGAAAATATGTCAAAAACCATTTTAATGTCTTCCCCAGATCCCTAACAGTTCAGAGAGGTTTTTTTCCCCCAAAAAATTCTCAGTTTTTCTCATCTCCGTAGCTGTGGTCCCAGCATGACTTTGTTGATAAAGTTGACGATTGCTACAGCTGGTTGCTCGGGGTCCATCTCTGCAAACAGGTGACACACATTCTCTGTAGCAGTGCCTGTCCGTCTCGCCACAAAGCCAAACATCCTGCACCAGAGGGCAGACACAAGAGGTCAAAAGAAAAAGCAAACCCCATTTAACACTGAGGGAAAGTCAATTTTCTTTTGAAAAGCGAGTAGCAAATCCAATGGTGATCAATTGCCATGCAAAGAAGCACATAGTGCCAGCTGGTATTGTCACTGATAAGGGAAAAACACTGCCACACAAGCACTTACTTGCTTGACGTGCTATCAGAATTAGTCCACCTGAAGCACGGGTACACAAATAGAGACAAAGTGACAAGGACACAGAGACTGTTTTACTAGGGAAAAGAGTAGCAATATACATCCATTTCTCACATAAAAAAGCGAATATGCAACTCACAAAGAGAACTTATATTAGAAAAATATAAGTCATTACAGCAGCGACAAACACACGTCTGTTCCCACCTTTACTAAAGATAATCAACAGTGACATAGAAACAAGGGTAGTTTTTTATTAACATGGATAAAACTGGTTTTAGTTTTAACGACCCACCTCTGATCATGAGGATCAAGACTGCTAAAGGTGATACTGTTGATTGGGTAGTGTCTCCTAAAAAATAGCCTGTGTAAACATACATAACATTAAGTCTGGCATGAAAGAAAGACTTAATACTTCCTATGATTGTTTAATACAATAACAAATACCACAAAATTTACAAATAATACTCATTAAGTGAAACTGACGCTCTTCCTAATATGTAACATTGTAGTGATTCATAAGTACCTTCTCTTGCTGTCGGTTAGTGTGATACCCTGAGAGGACACTTTGAAGTGGACCATGGTTGCCACTGGGCGTGGATTCAGAGACAAAGTGAACTTCGTTGCCTTAGAAACTGCTTCGGGCCCAGTTAACGACTCTGTTTCCACAGAGTTCAGGTAGAGGACGTTGCACGCTGGTTCATTAGGGAAATGACAAAGATTATTATTATTATTAATATTATTCTTACAGGTCAACATTGTGAAAATATGGAGCTTGAGAAGTACCTGCTCCTTGTTTGAGGAGCTCAGCTGCAGTGCTGGTATTTGTTGCACTCTGCATTTCCTGAAGCTCCCCAACCAGATCTGAAACATGGTGAATTTCATTTAAGGCTGTAAAATGCCTCCTATTCATAGAAGAGCATTTAACTGTTCTCGCATAATAGATTTAGTTGAAATCTAATTAAACAATTAATACCTTTTTCTGGGATGTGAAGAGGACATGGCAAAGAGATGGGAGTAATTGAATGCTGGTACACCAAGGCGGATAAACTTCCTGAGACCAAAAAAAAAAAAAAAAAGGTAAGAAGATTGCAAATGTGACAGATTAGAAGGGATTAAAACACAGAAAATTGAGGCTTGGAATATAGTAAATATTCAAAAACTGTATGTAGATTAAAATGCTAAGTTTCTCACACAACACTGAAATTGTGAAATAAATGGCAGCATTTGCATCTACAGTGTAACTAACCAAAGTAGGACTCATTCTGACAGCCCTTGATCTTCACTCCTCGCGGCCCAGACTCGATCAGGAAGTGTCTCACCAGCTGTTCCAGAGGATCCCCTGGGAGACAGGAGATTGAAAAGGAAGGATGAAAAAGGGCTTGTTTTGCTGCCAAAAATCTTCTATAAACATAAACGAAAATACAGCATAATGTAGCTGATATCTTTTATTCTGACCATATTATATTTATTATGTTCACCATGAACCATTTTAATACATTAACACACTGTATCACCATCACAAAATAATTTATTTGGCGTTTTTCAAAATGCAGCCATCAGTGTGTCTTTAGATGCTTTGGTAAATGTCCATTTTATTTCTTTATTTCTTTCTGTGTTCCAGTTTGCATGCTTTATGGGCCCTTTATACCAGCCATTTTCAACCTCACAAACAACACTGCATAGCAAAAGTGCCATACATTCTTTGGCGCAAGTGGTCATTTCGGCTGATTATGCACCTCTCAACTTTTGTAACTTCACCCAGGATCTGATTTATTTATTTATTACCAACAGTTTAACTATATATCAGTGCAGAAAATCATAGATTCACTCATAATACAAAAGGAGACATTGCAACACTGGTTTTGACTTCCTCTGATTTGGAGGTTTTGTCTCAGTGGCGACACGTATTGTTCAGGAGAATACTACAGTGACAAGTTGTGCCCTAGAGGACAGTAATTGAGCCCTTGGCAACCATTGGCCTCTAGGGAAAAACGTGTATTCACTAACAAGTTGCCAAGTTGGTGGCTGGAGGAATTGAGGCACAGAGGTGTACAGTGCTGTACTGAAAACATCCGGACATCTGTAGTTTGCATGGAAGACGCTGAAATGTATGGAAACACTTGCCAACTGCTTGCTGCGAGCCATATGCAAATCAGACACATAAACTGTCAGCCTTCAGAGTAAACATTGTGCTTTCTGAAATGTATGGGTTGCAGTGGTAAGGCACAATTTTACTTTGAATGCAGAGGTTCTCTGTTTCCAGTTTGTGTTGCACTCATTCAAGTTTTACTGTCTCTTGTCAAGTAGTCAGTGAGTGATTGCAGACAATTTGATACCTTCCATGCAAACTACTGTGTGCAGCAAACATTATTGTTTGCAGTTATTGCCTTGGTTACTAGCAGATTGCTGCTAACAAAGAGGTTTTAGCTGCAGCAACGAATTTCACCCAGCAGCAGCCAGCAACCTCCAGGAACTGCTTGTCAAATTGTTGGGCAATACACCGGTTCACAAGTGAGAGGTTGCCTGGGGGTCGCCGATCAGTCTCTAAGCCTGTGTGACTGAGGCATTATAAACAAGCTAAACTTATGATAGATACCTTTGCTCCAAGAGAAGTTGGCATTAGGAGGAGGGGTAGCCACCTTGAGGGCCAGGCCATAGGCACCCTGGAAGGAATTGCTATCTCTGATGAGGAAACTTCCTGGCTCCTTGTCCTTCAACACAGCTATGGCTATGGTAGAAACATTAGAGCTATGATGTAATGGCCCAAAACAGACACACTGACCATAATATGAGTTAAATACGAACCATCCTGATGTATTAAGTGTTCCTGATACTACCAATTCATGTTTCATTAAAGCTCTCACCTTGGTCTCTGGTGATGCCTGGTTTGTACCAGTACTTGGAGCTGTCCTGGACAAACTTAGCATTGACCCTGATGTCTGGCTCCTCCCGGCAGCTGTGCTGTGCAGACCCCCTCCTCTGCTCTCCAACAGCAGGGGAGAAAGTAACATGATGTGTGGGGGAAGGAGCTGAGGAAGCCCGAATTAGAGAGTTGTGTCCATTTAGGGATCCTGCTGTTGTGGAAAAGCGTTTCTTCTCTGGGAGCGGTGGCTGGATGGTGGGGATAGTGACTGCAGTGTACCCAGTGTATGGAACATGGGGGACATTTAGTAATGAGTAGTAATAGGATGCTGAGGGAAAGTTTGGTGTATGGTATCCATCGGGAACAGGTGAAGGCGGTTTGGTGTCAGCTGAGCTGTTTCTGTCTGGAGTCAAGCTTTGTCCTGCTGTGTCTGTAGCAGATGAGGAGTGCAGAGGAGAAGACTGTAGCTCCGGGGAACCAATAGGAGAATTTGGGAAAGTGGTGGAAGGGCTAGAACTTAAACTAGTTGCTGGATTTATGGATACACCTCTGCTGCTGTCTGATGGGCTATCATTAGGGAGGGCGGAACCATTGAGTTGCACTTGAACTGGGGTGATAATGACAGTTGCATAGCTTGAAGCATGTGATGTGTTAGATCCATGTGCATGTCCCGTTACCTTGACTGCTCCAAGCTTACCATCAGGACTGCTACTTTCAGAAGACTCACCTGATGTTTGCACGGGGTTGACAGGTATGATTGAACCTTGAGTTTGTGTTTCTGTTGGTTTCACATTTTTGTTACTTGCGCTGGACTCTTGAGGTGTTGATGTGTCTTGGCTTTGAGAAGGACTGTCGACATTTACACTAATGAAAAGACCACATATGATAATTTTCTTCATATCTTTATATGTAGCTGTATTTTCCAGAATTGTGAGATGTCAGAAAGCAAAGTTTCACTCACCTGTCTTCTGTGTGTGTGGGGCTGCTGCTACCAATCAGTGTGTAGTCATGGTCAGAGTCTGGTCCAGGGGTGCTTGATTGTCCATTAGAATCAGACTTAGTTTCTGAATGTTGGGATATCTCATCTTCTGTGTCTGTCTTGGCCTTTTCGACTTTGATAAGAGAGATTAAAATATATGAGATGAAAGTATAACATAAGAGAGTGATGATGATAAAAGAAGGGGAAAAAAGCATGTTAACCCATCCACTTAGTCCTTTCCTCTACCTTTGCGATGCTCATTGTGCATTTGGTCTCTGGATCCCAGTGGGGTTTCGGGCAGCTTTCCTTTTGCAGGTGATGGGCTATTAGCAGGTAGAGGGGAGGCTGATCCAGAGTGATATCCTGAGGCATAACCTCGACTCTCATGGCTTTCAGCTGGAGATGACTCATAAGGTGAGCAGGGACAGGAGTGGCGTGGCTGTAAGGGCGTGTGGTATCCACTGTTGGCTCCATCCCGTATATCTATTAGTGACTGGGGGATTGGGTAGTTCTGGTGAGGTGCAACAACAAATCTAGGGTGCTCTAGATTTGGACCTCGGTCCAGAGAGGGTTGGTAGAGATGAAATACAGGTGTATTGGATTTGCACTGCCAAAATTCTGCCTCTCTTGCTATGTCCCATGGATTTTCAGTTTCCCATTGTGGAGGTACACCTGTTCCTTGAGACCAGTGTATTGTTTCTGATTGGTCTGGGTAAGCTGAGTGTATTGTTTTAAGTGAGGCTGAGTGATGTTCACGTCTGCAGGAGCAGTCTTGCCAGGGACAACCAGAGGACTGTGCAGGAGAGCCAAAGAACATCTCTCTGTAAGGGCTTGATGGCTGCGGCTGGTTGGATAGATGAGACGCTGGGATGTGGCTGGAATAATGAAGAAGGTGACACTCTTCCCCAGTGCAGAGTCTATTTGAGGCTGGCAGGGTATGGCTGTGTGGGTGTGCATGATCGCGAGTGGAATAAGGGTAACATGGCCTATGGACAAAAGGTAGAGGTAGAGGTGGAGTTGAACGTTCCCATGGCAACTCTGGTAGAGGATGGACACTGTGGCGATGACATAGCTCCATATGAGCTGAATGAGGATGAGGGGACACTGATTTGGATGGTAAAACTGGCAGAGTTTGACTTTTTGGATGATTTTTAATGCTTTTGCAACGTCCAAGACAGTGACTGTTGGGAAGACAGGGCTCTCTGTCCCTCTCCAACCCCATGTCACCACACTTTATACTTGCTTGTCCGCAACACAAGTGCTCTCGTCTCAGCCCTCCAGGACCCAATGGGTCTGTATCATCTAATATAGCTGTTTCTCTGTCCCTTTCTTTTCCTCTTGTCTTCTCTTTTGTTTCGTCTTCCCTATTGCTTCTCCTCAATGGATAGTCAATATTATCTCTTTCATTAATGGATAGAGCGGTGTCAGCCAGGTGATCAGAGGGGACTGAGGAGTAGCTGGAATTTGAGGTGTAGGTGAGAGTCTTGGATTGGGTGGAAGTTTGAGTCTTCACTGTTGGGCTGGTAGTGAGGCAGCCATTGGTTGATGCTGGTGAGGCAGTTGCTCCTGGTCCACGTCGCTTCCTCACTTGGGCGTATAAGCTTCCATCCAGCGGTCCCCTTGTATGAAAGATATCTAATAAAAACAAGATGGAAATCTGATTCCTCCTTCTTTATCTAAAGCCCATAGTCAAAATATGAAGAAAGCTCACCTTCTTTCTATTCTAATGTTTCTTTCAGGACTCAAGAAAAAGAATCCAGTCATTAGCAGGTCTAAAAAATAGGTAACTACAACCTCAGATGAACTACAGAATATGACATACTACACTGGGTCATTATTTATCCGACTAATATTGAGCTAAAATGAAGAAACAGTGTGTCAAAAAATAAGTATATTACTGTTTCTAGAGAAATTAAGGGGAAAATTAGTCCAAACCTCAATCCAGTTGAAATGCTGTGGTGAGAACTTAAGAGAGTTGTGCATAAATGAATGTCTGCAAACGTCAATGAACTGAAGAAATGCTGTAAAAAAGAGTGAGTCAAAATTCCCCCACAACTATGTGACAGACTGATAAAGTCATACCAAAGATGATTACTGCATATTATCACTGCTAATTGTGGTTCTACAAGCTACTGAATCATGGAGTGTACTTAGTGTTTCATTGGACTGCGTCTGCAGTTGATCTGAGGTTGTATTTATCTCATTTTAAGCCCTGGTAAGGACTAGATGATTTTTTATTAAATAAAACAGAAGACTTAACAGAATTTGACCATGGCTGTAGATCTTAGATGTATATGTAAAGCATTTCTTACTTTCCATGCTGTCTTCATGATGCAGATTGAAATTCTCATAGGAGTCCCATCTGACAACAGGATCCGAGGTGTTATATTCCACTTTGATGGAGGTGTCATTCTGGTGGTATTCTTGACCTCAAACACAAAGTTTTTATTTGAAACATATTTACACATAGCTCATTACTAATATATTAGATTTTATTAGTATTTATGAGTGGTGTCCTGTATGTGTATTGTTTTTACTTTATATAGCTATTGTATTAAGCCTGCTGGTATAGCAGAAGCTAAAATCAAGGAGTTTCATGCCATAGAATAGAACCATGAAGTGTTGAACTTAATTTAAAATGAGAAAGAAGAGACTGGGTGCGAGGAATGCATGAAATGATTCAAAGATATGCAGGTAACAGTGATATTTACCTTTTATTTTTTCTGGTCCATTAGCGAAGATAAACTCCACTGTAGCATCAGGGGGGAACCTGTCATCTACAGAAAGGCAAACATAAAGGAGTGACTAAAATATCCAGACCGTAACTACAGAGAGACACCAAAACAAAGTAAATAAATAAAGATACTTGCTTTTACTCTCAGCATAATGGAAATAAATAGGCCAAAAAAGGAAACAGAGGACGGCACATCATAGAAGTCTATCTAAAATTAGCTTGTTTTTTAGTTTCATACATAAGTGTGGATTTAATATTAGTTGTATATTTTATGCATGAGTCAGCATGTAGCACTTAGAGGTACTGTCCTTAGACTGCTGCTTAGTGAACCACGTTAAACCATTTCTGTTTCATCTAAGCTGACGCTGTCCTTTGCTATTTGTCTCTGAAGACAAACAAAACAATGGTCTGAGGAATAAGTGGGTCTTGAATAATACAGTCATGTAAACAATTTCAAGTTTGCAGCAGAATTATGCAGCAGAAAGTTTCCTTTTTGTAATATTTTATGCTGTGAGGCAGAGTCTAAACAACCATGCTGCAGTTATTTAGAGTACTAACAGTACTAACTCCCCTTGAAGATGGGGTGGAGCCAAGGGATCGCAAAGGGCGGCAACAATGACACAGACTAAAGTTTTACAACCACACACAGCAAGTAAACATCAAGTAAGCCTGCTGGGGGTGCTATGCACATAATTACAGGAATAGAGTTACAGACAGTAAATGCTCCTTTTCAGAACCATTGTAGCTAATGTCTTTATATGTGCACATTTCAAAGAGCACAAGTCATTTCAACAGTAATTATGTTATGAGCTTTACTAACAGTTACAGAAGAAAAAGTTTGGCTAATGCTCCAGTTTTAAAAGAAAATTCAATTAAGAGTGACATAAAAAGCTTGTGATTGCTCAAAAAAGTCGAGAAACACTTTGAAAATAAATCAGATCTCAACAGGGAAAAAAATCATGCTGGATATCTGTCCTGATATGACTGGGTAATGTGAAAGAAAGGATGCCACATCGTTGGATGGGAAGAAAATTATCACCATGTCAAAGACACCTCAAAAATCAAAGTGAAAAAAATTATGATGCAGCAGGCTAGTCCAATTTGTAGAAATTTCGTTGCAGCAAGTCAAAATTGTAGTCAGTAGTTTGTATGAAGCTGGGCATTGTCGTGCACCTGGAGGAACCCAGGACCCAGCGCACCAGCTTAGGGTCTGATAGTGGGTCTAAGGATAACATCCCGATACATAATGGCAGTCAGGTTGCTGTTGCCTAACCTGGAGAGGTGTGTTAGTCCCTTGATGGATATGCCTCCCCAGACCATCACTGACCCACCATCAAACTGGCCATTTTGAACAATGTTACAGCCAGCATAAAGTTCTCCATGGCTTATCTGGGCTTTTTCACATCTGTCTCATGGGCTCAGAGTAAACCTGCTCCCATCATCTCAAATGCCAGTGAAGCTCCAAGGTGCCAGGCAGTGAGCACAGGGCCACTAGAGGACGTCAGGGCCTCAGGCCACCCTCATGAAGTCTGTTTGTGACTGTTTGTCAGAGAGATTCACACCAGTGCTCATCCTGTTTCTCTTTGCAGAAAGGAGCAGATACTGGTCCTGCTGATGTGCTAACCACCTTCTACAGCCCTGTCCAGTTCTCTTAGAGTAACTGCCAGTCTCCAGAAATGTAACTGGCCAAATCAATACTCCAGAAGTTTAACTGACTTAATGCTATACTTTGATTAAAAACACTGTTCTTTTCATTTTTGAGCAGTGTAGACATAAGGAATGATGACATACCTCTACATTGCTGTTATGTCTGCAAAACAAATGCTTAAAGTGAGTTACAGAAAAAGTGACGTTGTCTGAAACAAATGACTGTAGTTACCAGCATCAGTTTCTATGCCCAATTGTCTGACTCTGTCATTGCTTCAAGCTGGCATTTTTTTCTTGCCATTCCATGCTCCTCCAAACAACTGACAAACTTTGGACTTGTAATTTTATACCTATGCAGGCTTGGTCGAGTTCACTCTTGCCAAACCACAGCTGGGCTCCATGAACAGTACAGGTGTGGAACTGGACTCTAAAGACCACCTCTCTTTCTGTTGCTCGTCTCCGCCAGTGGTAGCACTTTACCTATGGACAAAGATGCATATAGAAAAGCAGTGTACAACGATAGTCTCAAGATATTGATAGCAGCCCCTTACACTGAGATAAATAAAATGCCTTCTTTTATTCCTGGGCTGCTAAGGACTTATTTTTATCCTCTTGATGGGAGAAAATGATCATGCAGTCTCGGGAAGATTTAACTCTTAAGTGGTTTAAAAATAATCAAGCACTGTTCAAAAGTAAGGTTACAAAAGTGCATCAGAGTCAGGAGGGCAAAAAGTGTTTTGTGTAGCCGTTTTGTTAAGCGTGGATAAAATCCTGACTACAGGATTTAGCTTAAAAAAAACAACACGCAGTAGTGTTGTAGTTATTGCAGTGATGTACTGTATGTATTTGTGGATACGGAGAGGATAGAAATCAAAGAAAGGTTGTAAATTACTGACATACAGTTAATCATGTGCTATTTCTCACCATAATGTCCCCCTTCAATAGTAGTGCTGGCTCCATAGTCACGCACAGCTTTCTTGCCCTGGAGCTTTGTGGATCACTAGACACACACACACACACAGGTACACGTAAAAAAATGGACAGTCCATCTTAAAATACATAAAACAAGTCAAAACATGCCACAGTTGGGTAAACACTGGCAAACAGCATAAACTTTAACATAAGCAGAGTCCCAGCTCCACCTAAACACAGACAGAGTCAACATGTGTGAAAGAGACTGAGGGAAGGAAAGATGTCTGCCCGCAGGAGGTGAGCTGAAAACACGCACACACTGACCAGTTACTTACTAGACTCCTGAGGTATACACCAGTTGAAGAGACTGGTAGATTTTCAGGAAAGGATAAAAACCTGCAAATACAGAAATAAGTTTAGGGATAATAAAAAGGGTAAGAATTTGCAGACAGAGGCTTTGTTGCCCCCCCCCCAACATTGTAAAACACTGACTGTTCCCACTTTCACACTGAAAATTACCATTTAAAAAAAAGTGCAGCCTATAAAACTGACCTCCTCCTGCCTGGAAGTTTGGTAGTGAAGGAATGAGGATTTGGTGCAGGAACAAGGGATTGCTGTTCATTTTGATGGTACCTGACAACAAACCACCAAAGTAGTAGATGTATCTGTCAAAGATAGGTGAAGAAATGGTGTGATGACACAGTGACTGAGGTGATAACTGCAACACAACAAGAAAAGATTAATGGTGGGCGGAGGAAATGGATGATATGCAGGGGATTGACACCTCTTCTGAGAGGACTGCAGGGAAGAGGAGACTTTATCTTCACAGAACTTCCTCATGGCCAATGTGGTGAGGGCCTGGTCGGCTCTGTGAACACGGGCAGAAGTGTATTAGTTCATTCATTATTTCTTGAGCTTGATGTTGATGAGGTGTATGCTAAGAGGAAGTCATGAAATCTGTTGGTGGCTTTATCTACAGATTTAAACAAATCCACAAAGATTGTTTTAGTGGCTTTTTTGGACATAAGGACTCATTTGTGCAAACAGTAGATCCTTACATATGCTGGCATATTGAGGCTAAGAGCAGACTAATAATCAAAATGCAGATTACCCCGCTGTTATCTTGCTGTAGTGCATATAGGCTGCCACAATGACCCCTGTTTTTCCTTTGTTCCCCTGTCAAAACAAAAATCAAAGGGATTATCAAATCAGTTTTACTGGTGTTATAACTTTTTAAGCGCAAAGGAATCAGATGAGTATTCAGACTACACTGACTTTGCAGTGGAGGACCACTACATTGTTTGGATCAGAAGTTAGCCACGTCTCCATGGCCTTACAAACAGCACAGATCCTGTCCAGGGGTGGAGCATGAAGATCGGGCCAGGCGTAGTCCTGCACCTGCATCGCAGAGGAAGATATTTCAAATACTAGTGGTTTTATGCTTTGTAAAGTATTTTCATTAACCCTAAATATACATATAAATGTACCTACAGTATATCACATACATTGCTCATGCACTTCGGTGATGTCTTAGTAGCCTGAGTTATGTGTCAGATGTGAGTGCCTGTACCTTTGGATAGAGTCTGGTGATGTCATGTCTCTTCTCTGATAAATTTAGAAGCTGGGGGAAGGCAGAAGAAATTTACAAATCCAAAACTCCATTGCTTGAATCTAATATTAAACATTGTTATGCCTGTTTTGAATTTTATGTTTCTTATTGTTTCAGTCTTTCACACTGACCAGAAACTTATCTTGGTGCTTGGATTTCAGCATGGAGGCCACTTCCTGTAGGTTTCTGCGGTACTGCTGCTCCTCCAGGTCTGGCAGGAAGAAGACTGAGATGATCCTCTCTGTGATGTAGGTGAGGTCAAAGTCGTAGTGGCGCTCCATCACGTGCTCCATCACCTGTTCCACGCTTTTACTTCTGGACATTGTGAAAATCCATTCTTTTAGTTCAGGCAGAGCAATAATTAATGTCCTCACTGTAGATTTTGCTGTTGTCTGTGTCTGTCTGTTATAAATGCACAAAAATGCCTTTTTTCTTTGGTTTGAATGTGTTTGTGTTTTTGATCAGGCTTTGCGGTACCTTGGTATGGAGCCTCTCTTTTTCTGCGAAGTTGATTTAGTGGAAGTGTGCTGCGAGACAAGCAGAAAAAGATCTCAGTGCTGCACTCACATCATCATAAAAATTTCTCTGTGACAAAAAACATGTGATCCCCCCCCTCCAGAGCCTACCACTTCTGGTGTTGAGGTGCAGCTGGGAGTCACCTGAAAGGAAAGAAAGCACGTGGTTGTTTCTTTGCAGCTTTAACAGACCCACACATATACATTGGGAGGAAGCAGCTCATGCCAAGTCATGTGTTTGGTTTAATGCTTTTGGTGCAGCTCCAGCAGTACAGATGAGGAGATGGAACGCTGTGGAATGAGGAGAGCTGATGAAGAGGATAGTAAAATTCACTCTCGCTCTCCTCCGTCTCAGAGCAGCTGGTTTCAGGAAGAAGCTGTCGGTCAACAGATGCAGCTGTTCCTTATGATGGACTAGTGATGGATGACACACGTAGAATGATCTATACGCTCAGTGGTGCGCACAAGCGTAGATGTTTAGAAACAAACTTCAACAGCTGCTCATGTGTACATGTGTGTAAACAATTGTAAAAAAACAAAAACAACAAAAAGCCTGAGGCCAAAGAGTGTTCTTTCAATTCTCAGTCATTGCTAAATGGTGTTTATTGTGCTGACCAGGCAGCTGAATAAGCAGCTCAGGCTATTAAGAAGTGCTCAATAAAAATGATTGATTTCACTTTTTCATTCTTTTGGCCTCTTTAGAAAGAAACACTGATAGATAGACTTGAGGGGGACTCAACATGTGGCATCCAGTTCTTGTAGTGATGAGCCAAAGGTAAGTTGCCAAAACTACAAACACACGTATACAGATGGAGAGAGACAGAGGGAAGCCGAGGTCATTTGAACAGAAGACAGCCACTGCTATGACAGTAAACTTTAACAGGTTCCTGTAGCTTCCTCTGTTCTGGATTATTTGATACTTTTCGGACTCATCTGGAGGTTCTCGTAAAATGTAAAAATGTTTAATGCGGCTGAAATGATAGAAAGTAAGAGGGTAAAGAAAAATGGAAAGAAACGCATGGATAAAAACGAAAAACATTCAGCAATCCAGTGCAACTAAGGGCCCCAGTAGTGCGCTTTGACAGGTGACACCATGTCAGGTTTCAACCTTTGAACTTTCCCACGAGATTGAGCCGCCCTCTGTGGCTGTGTTGGCAAGTGCTGACAGGCCTCAAGCAACAGGTTAACTAGTCAAATGCCAATCACAGTGAACCACAGTGAAAGGAAAACAGGAAAATCTGTGACCATGCAGGATTACATTCACTAGCTCTGTGGTGACATAACAATACATTAAGACTGTGGCTGCTTTGAACACTGTCTTTAGTAACCATCTGCTGTCCAAGCATCTGGTCATTATCAAAATCAGTCTGCAGACCCCATGACCAGTTGACTGGTTAGCATCTGGGAAACTTTTATTTCCATGGCCTGCGTTGTAGCCAGCAGACAAATTTCTTTTTCCAACAAGGAATCAGTGTGTTTATGAATGCAGATTATTTTTGGATAGGCAAAGGTTTCAGGGTTGCATTTAAGCTATGCAATCCATCTCTCCGTGCAAATTTTATTCCTGCATGCAACCAGAGCCTGCTCTTCATGATAGATCAAACTAAGTACACAAAAACAGAAATTTTCTTGTAAGAAAAACCTCATCCTTTATTAAAAGGTTCTATGTCTTTATGCACAGCATCTGTCAAAGTAAGCCACTAGTACAAGCTGTGTTTCTTATTGAGTACTTAGTAATAGATGGCTTAGTTAGCATTAGCCTGTCTCTTCAGGCTCACTAATGTGTTTGTTGTTTTCATGTTCAGTGACTGTATCCTTTTAGCTGTGTGTGTTAGCTCAGCTTGGTTTTAAATAGACACAATAAATGTTATGTAAAATGCAGCACTGTGATGTGACGATCACCAAATTAAGAGCTGAAGCAGCTGCATCACGATTGCTATTCAGCTTCTCAGAAAGAGACTATATTACACACTGGCGCGCCAAAACATTATGACCACCACTCATATGTTGTTGGCTCTTTGCATGCTACAAATAACAAAGGACATATTAAGCCACTGAAGTTCTCTGAAGGTGTCTATGGTATCAAAAACTAGAGATCAGCAGCAGATCGTCTGAGCGTTGTATCTTGTTGGCGAGGAGAGGTGCCAGTCTGACTTATTCCTACTGCTACACTATTGTCAGTGAGTTTTCTGAGAAGTAGAACACAATTTATTTTAAGTCACTTTAAAGGAGCTTTGAAACCAGGAAAATTGGATTAGTTTAGTGTTTTTGGCAAGAGGACAGTCGAACTGAGATTTCTACCCAAAATAAAACTTTCAAATTTCACAGTGCACATTTTCTAATACACAAAAAGCAGATTACAAGCAACGTTGCAGTGGTGACAAGTATTACACGCAGAAGGTTTAGGCCTGTGTGACTGGAAAAAAGGGGGACGTAAATGAGCATGCAACCTAGGGAGGAATGAGTAAAAAGGGGAGTGAATGGGAAAGGGCACAATTGCTGCTTCATAAATTAGCTCCTGCTGAAATTATAAGAAGGTCGTGTTATGTAACATCGTGTACCTCCTATATAAAGACAGACAACCAGCATAACAACACTTATTTATTCAGCATAAACGTGGGACGCTTTAGAGTCACTGAGTCCATAAAGTAGTTATAAAACTTATAATAGGAAATGAAAGAATGCAGAGATTCAGCCACAGGGGATAACTCTTTTCTTAACAGGTTTAATAAAGGTTGTTACTGGATAAAGTAGTCAGTTCCTGGAAGGAACAGTGGGAGACAGACATAACACATGCATGTGTACCCATGTATAAACATGAACATGCACACACGCACACAAAGAAGACCAGGGTTTGAACCCAGAGGCATAGAACATAGAAATACAGCAGGAGAAAGACATCAGAGTCAACAGGAAGCAATTTGCAACAGGATGTCAGCGCTGCTCGGCCTAGGTTCACACGTAACGCACACACAAATTACACGCAGAGCATACACGTGTCTTTGGTAGCTCTGCCAGCCTCAGGGTCTTCATTAATGCATGTGGACTGTAAGCTGGAGCCACTGGGAAAGGAGCCATCTGGTTCAGTTTGTCTCGTTGATCAGTCAGCAATTACTGAGGTGCCAGTGACAGCACGCGACCCCCCTACACCACCCCCCGCTTCAGGGGACTCGACGACTGTTACTGAACTCATTAGCCGATCGATTTATCAGGTGAAACGTCTTTTTTTTTTGTCAATGAGAAACATCCATCCATTTAGTTTCTTTGGTTTATCTTGGTAAAAAAAAATGGTAGTGCTGAGCAAAGCAAGCAATTGATAACAAAAAGCTGGCCTTTTTGAGATGTTTGCTTCCTTGCTGGCAGCTAGATGCCAATATCGATGCCACTCTCGTGTGCATATAAAATAGGACGCTACAGCTGATAGCTGTCTCACAAGAAAGAGTAAAAATGAGGAATCACCAAAATCGGCGAAAATCTAGCTCCTGCTGTCTGCTTCCAGTCTGAATCCATCTCAAACAGACAGACGTGTGATAACTCTTGGCAAGAAAGCAAATATTTCCCCCCCCCAAAATTATCTTTGAAAAGCTCTTTAATGTTTTCTTTCACAGTGTAGCTTAACAATAAATAAATAAATAAATCCCTGACTTTTAATCACTGTTTAGATCCACACTCTTTCCAGATGAATGTGCCTGATCCCATCTGCCGGTGGATCACTGACTTCCTGACGGACAGGAAGCAGCATGTGAGGCTGGGAAAGAATGTCTCGGACTCCCGGACCATCAGCACCGGCTCCCCTCAGGGCTGTGTTCTTTCTCCTCTGCTCTTCTCCCTGTACACCAACTGCTGAACCTCCACCCACCAGTCTGTCAAGCTGGTTTGCAGATGACACCACCGTTACTGGACTCATCTCGGACGGGGACGAGTCTGCCTACAGGAGGGAGGTTGACTGTCTGGTGTCCTGGTGCAGCCACAACAACCTGGTGCTGAATGCCCAGAAGACAGTGGAGATTATTGTGGACTTCAGGAAGCACACAGCTCCACTCCCCCCCATCATCCTGACTGACACCCCCATCACCTCTGTGGACTCATTCCGCTTCCTGGGTACCACCATCACCCAGGACCTGAAGTGGGAGCCCACCATCACCTCCGTCATCAAGAAAGCCCAGCAGAGGATGTACTTCCTGAGGCAGCTGAAGAAATTCAACCTGCCAACACGGACGATGATGCAATTCTACACTGCAATCATCGAGTCCATCCTCACCTCCTCCATCACCGTGTGGTACGCTGGAGCCACTATCAGGGACAAACAGAGACTGCAGCGTGTTGTGCGCTCTGCTGAGAAGGTGATTGGCTGCAGACTCCCATCTCTGCAGGACCTGTACACCTCCAGGACACTGGGGCGTGCAGCTCGGATCTCAGCTGACCCTTCTCACCCTGGACACAGTCTGTTTGACCTGCTCCCCTCAGGCAGGAGGCTCCGGTCCATTCGCACCAGAACCTCTCGCCATAAGAACAGTTTCTTCCCCTCTGCTGTTGGACACATGAACAATAACTGTATGACTGTTCCCACCACTAACACATGACCCTACGCTGTGTTCACTGCATCATTCCATGTTTGCACTGATCCCCACCTGCACTCATGTATATATCTATCTACTTAGCACCAAAAATTCTTATTTTTATGTTTATTTAAGCGTTATCTGACAGTATGTTTTGCACTAAGCACCGCAGCAATTTCCTAATGTTGTAAACCTGCTCAACATTTGGCAATAAAACCCTTTCTGATTCTGATTAAACTTTCCCTCCTTTTAATCCCATCCACAGCACAGCAACTGCAGCTGGAATATGAATCTGATCTGACCACTGCCACATCCTGAATTATTCCTGGGAGAGGAAATCCAACACAGAGAGATCTGTCACAGCAGGGAAGGCAGAAGATAAATGTGAGTGTCTGAGACACAGGCGTCAGCGTGCCATGTAGAGGGAACGAGCTTCAATCTGACAGTCAACTCAGAGCTGACATCACGCCCCAGAGAGGGAGAAGTGAGTAAGCCTTCAAACCAGAAAGTGGAAAAATCTAAATTACCAGGTTTATTCCATGTTCTGTACTCTCACAAAAAAGTCACTCATGCCCAAAGTTGCTGAAAGCTAAAATAAAATCTGTGGGCTTTTATTTTTAGCGGCTGGAGAGATTCATGAGGCTTTACCTGAAAGCGCAACACGCCCTCTTTCTCGTCTTGTTAGCAGTCTGCCTTTCATCCTCCTGTCATCTTTGATCCCTCGTTTCTCTATTTCCTACCTCCTGGAGTCTGTCGCCCCCTTCTAATCCCCCCTCTCTGCCTCACTACTTAAAAAGCCGTGGGGCAGGATGACCACAATCATCCCTGCCATGAAATGCAGGCATGCACTCCTCCTGAATAAACAACGTCAGATGACAAAGAGCACCTCGATAAGCATCACGCGCATCAAAAGCACAGCACCAACTAACTAACAAAACTGACCCATGGGATAAAGCAATAAGGGCTCAAAGTGAAAAACCAAATGTCGAGGGAACACAAAGTAGACATAGGAAAAAAGGAAGACAGGAAGAGGAAAGAGGAGAGGCAAACAGGGACAGTAAAAGAGACTGACCGCTGGCCAGGAGAGAGATGTCAACAGCTGAACATGCCTCCTGACCACTGACACAGAGCAGAGAGATTTCTCAGAGCTATTTTAATAGAGCTCCTTATTTTAGACTAAATGTCCCCCAGAACACTTACAGGCTCATTTTGTCTATTTGTCTGTCAATCATCCCACAAAGTCTCTTTTTCAAGAGATCTGGCAGTCGATTTTGAGGAATGTGTCACGTGGCTGCCTCATAACTAACATACATTTGGAGCTGGTCCCATTGTCACCGCATGCCTTTTGACATTCAGCAACTGGAAAAATAGCAGCAACTGAATCAAAACTTTCTATCTGCATCCCCTGCGCAATACAGTGACATCATCTAAGCAGACACCATTTTTTTTAAAACATTGTTATGACCCTGTTAAGAAAATGGGAGCTGTATAATTCCTGGAATATTAAACAAAGCATTACGGTGTGGCTTAGCCTCTCAGGAAATTAAAAAATATAAACGCTTTGAGCGTGCATCTGTGTGCACCCTTGTGCCCGCCGATGCTTTATTGTTGCTAAGGTGAGTAAAGCAGTAAAATTAAATTAACCTTGATAATTATTTGTGGACAAGTACATCATGGTTATAAAAAGCAGCAGCAGCACAGTGACAGTGATAAGCCACCACCCTAATCGAGTTACAAAGATAAACAATCTGTTGGGATTTTGTAATAAACGGCATCCACTTTAAACATCTGTTGACTTCTCGTCTACCTTGTGCCCCAGCTGTGAGACGTGCAGGAGAAAGTGGGCGGCTTAAGACAACGGAAAGGAGAAGAGACTCAGAAAACCAGGACAGCTGGTCAAGAACTAGACTAATAATCAGCATCTGCTCGAAGAAGAAGAAAAAAAGGAAATCCAGCCTATAATCTGTTGAGCATTTGCAAACTGATCTGAATTCACATCATTTCAAACTCATGACCCTATGTCACTTCATATATCAGCACAAAACATTAGGAGAACAGCTGGTGTGCATGAGCAGACAGTGTAAAACCATCTGTATTTCACTGCATGACATTAGGATCCATCAGATGGTGTCAGGACAGGTGACTGGGTCCCTTTGTCTCTGGTGTCCTTTGGTCCTAAATGGTGACTTTGCATACACACAATAACAAACAGCACAGCACTGAGGCAGTAGACGGTAATCTGGAACCTGCATCATCATATCTACAGGATTAATATTGATACAGTTAAAAGTAATAAAGTACAAGCAAATAAAAATACACAGACACAGTAGCAGACACATGCACACAAATACATCCAATCAAACCCTTAACAAGTCTTGCACAAAATGTATTATATATAAATGAATGAAACACAGATTAGGCCCAGTTCCCATAAACTACTAACCTGCTCGACTGTCTCATGAAAAAGTAAGTCTTATGAATCCATTCTCCAGTTTAAATAATTAAAATCAGCGTATTTTTGTAGGTCACAGCAGGAATCTCTGCTTAAATTTCTGCACTTTCCTTAATCACAGTAAACAAAATCCTCTTTCTGGGCAAAGCAAGAGCTCTCTGGCTACGGCTTTAATGGAATAATATGCACAATCACATGCCGCACAGTTTGAGCTAACACCGTAGAAAGATGGTAAGGCTGTTACTCGGTAGAAAATAAAAACCTAGACAAGCTGAAACTGATGCTGCAGCTGAAGGCGAACTAAAGCAAAAAGCTGTAGTCAGTCAATATAGAGCGGAGCGTGTTTTTACCTCACAACAAGCAGCTTCAGTCTTTCCCTCTGCCTCTGAGCAGCGTTGTGTGTAGAGTGTCATACACTACCTCCCTCTCGGCTCACTCTCCTTCACCAACTAAGTTTGCCCCCCCCCTCCCTCTCTTGCATACACTTGCAGAGTGCCAGCAGCACATGCAACATAGCGTTTCCCCTCCCGATTTGCCTGTGCCTTACGCACAGAAGGCAGCGACGCACATCAGCCATGCAAGCACTTCCCCTCGCACGCGTACATCAATACGCCACATGCAGACAGTGGGTGCTGATGTACAGTGACCTCTCCGGTGCCCCGAGGGAGAGTGATGACAAGAGGCAGGAGGACAAATAGCAGCGGGGACATACACTTGATGAGATGGGAAAAGACAAGACGATGCGCAAAGGATAAAAAATAGGGGGGGAAAAAACATACTATAACTGTAGTGGTGACTGCTGTATCACACTGATGAAAGGATCAAACATTTGAAAAGGAGATAAGAAAAAAATGACACGGCAAAACATCAGAAAAAGGAGCAATCTAACAGAGATTAAAGGTTAGAAGAGATGATGACAGTGAGACACAAGAAATGAAAGAAGTGAAAAAGAAGGTGGTGCTATGACATGTTCTATAGCAAGAAGACAAACAGCAGAAACCTACGAGGGGTGGGGGGGTATTGGTATATGAAGCACACCAGTCTGAAGCCTTGACCCAGTGTTCCTTTTTATTTATGAATAGCCCCAAATGGGACTGATCACACGCACTCTCACACAGACAAAAACTGCCTCCCCAGCTGCCTCTCACTTATTTGCGTCCCCTGTGATCACTCACTCGCAGGCATCTGCGGCACTGGCGTTATTTTCTATATTTACCCGCTCAGACTTCTCCTATCCAGACTGATCATCATCCTGCGTGACGATATCCACTCACCGTGGCACCCGCTCTCCTGCAGCCTCCGAGAATTGTTTTTGGCTGTTGCCCCGGTGACCGGTGGAGGGTGGATGCATATGACAAAAATAATAATCCTCTTTTAATACGTGCAACTAAGTCACAACAGCTGGTAGAGGCGTGTCATACACCATTAGAGTGTGCGAGTTACCTTGGTGAAGAGAAGAGCAGAGAAATATATATGACAGGTCCTTCTGTGTGGCGCTGAGAGAGGGCAGGTGTGCTGCTTTTGAGTGCATGTATACGACTTGTGCTGCTGGATACTGAGTGAGACAAAACAGTCCCGCTCCAGCAAGGTCATGAACTCACTCAGTGGCGTGTGACACTGAGGTGATGTGAGTGGGGTCACATGAGAGTAGAAGCTGCTGCTGCCAATGGCTTGACATGAGCTGTGGATGGAGAGAGTGCTTCTCTCACACAGTTTAAATGAAACAGGCCACTCTTTGGGGGACTCTATAAGCAAAGGTCGGGACATCTTACTCAAAGTGTATAAGCAGCTTTTTTAAAACCAGGACTTACTAATGCACATATGCCGCTGTGGTGAAGCTCAGCTGAGCTTAAAGTGTTTACTGGGCAATTTCCTTTCTAATCACCAACAGACAAATGCAGATTGTCTTACGGCAGAGCATGTGGTTTGAAGCTGTGAGCACTAGCTTCACTGAGCTTTGTGAGTGCGTTTGTTCAGAGAGCACTACAAAGTGACTGCTTGCAAACAAGGGCCTTCCAGTTTTCCAGTTGAGAATCGTATTTGGCTTTCTTATAACAAACAGCAACTTATCTGTAGACGGACACACAGACGGCATTTGTTTGCAACGTGCATTATCCCCTGAGACTTCTCGTCTAGGCTCCTCCTCACTGATCCCTCACTGTGCATTCAGACCACTGACAGCTCACAGATCCCTGTTGCCCCTAATTGATCACCCCGAGAGCTATTTTCACAGTGCTAATGATGAGTAATGATGTATCATATATACAGTCATGACCTCTAAAGCCACAGACTTTATTAAGAGTCACTTTGAAAAACAACGGAGACTTTCCGGGTGCTTGAGAGATCACCCTCTCATCCATGTTACTGCATGGATGAGTGCAGTTCTGGAGGCAGGCCTTCTTTAACCAGACATCTAGGTCAATGCACATGGCTTATTCCACTTAAGACTAACATCACATTAACGTCGGTACCTGACAAACCTTTGAAAAAGGTGCACAGTTTGCTCTGGGCAGGAGGAGGTAAGGTATGCAGGTAGAAAATGTATAGCTCACCTTGGCTTCACATGTCTTGTGAACTGTAACCTTGCACTCTGTAAGCAAAAAGAAGCAATAATTTACTCCGAGAGTCAGCGAGCTGCTCTGACCTGCATCTAGATCTGCTACCACCCTGAGATGTGGACTCACCCTTGCAGAAAGCCGCAGGGGTGTCAATGTTGTGCTTGCACACATCACACATTCGTCTCCTCTTTAGTGTTTTCAGTGTGAAGGCATGGTTCCCTGACTTGGAGAGCTGCGGATACACAGGACAATCAAATCTGATCACCACACACGAGACATAGAAATGTTACAAAGGACGAAATAAAGGCTCCTCCTCAGTGGAAATCATTCATTTAGTGAGGCGGTAACTGTGTGCATGAAAGCAGCTTGAAACCATCGATCCCCTCGTGATAACATGAATAGTAGATTGTGGGCCTGCTTAGGTTTACCAAGTTTCTCAATTTGAGTTTAGCATTCTTCCATCTGAAGCACTAGATGTTCACTATCCCCTGCGTGGCTGCTGTCAGTACAGATATGCGCTGGTTTAGTGATACACCAGCATGAGCACTGGTGTCCTACCTGCTGTACGTTCAGCTTCCTCCACTAATATCAGCTGTCGTATCATGTTGTCTTTGAAGGCATCCTGTTGTCTTGTCTTTTAACTTGTCCTTATTCTGTCTCAGTCTGGGGGCTAAGACTGAAAAATGACAAGCTTTACATGCTGCTGTTCCCAGTCGACTGTGCAGTATGGTCACAGGCAAGACGAATTGAACCTAACAGATTCTGTCAGGGGATAAACGTGTTTTAATCTTTTTATTATTTTACCGTGGTCACTGTTTTAAGCTTCTCTGTGTCTCCATACTGATCAACCACAACTTCACAACTGTCAGGTGAAGCAAATAACAATGATTGTCACATTAAAGTCCTGCTAGTAAAACATTCACATTCTCGCATTCCTGTGCATGTTACTTTTACACATCGTATCCCCAAGTGTATCCAAAGTCTGCCTTACTCCTCTTTTGGTGATGGAATTCCCAAAAGCAGTGGCCTCCCCCGGCAGTTCAGGAACATGGAAAAAGTACCAAAAACACTGAGATGTCCCGTAAACTCCTCTACTCCAACTTTTCACCAACTAAAAACAAATATTCCCCGATGACTGAATCCTCATGTTCCCCTGGTTTGACCTCTAGCGTCATTGTCAGGTTAACCTTTTTTCCTATTGGCCATTTCCCTGACTAATTTATGACCAATATTATGAATACACACATGCTTTGTCATCATCTCAAAGAACTGTGTTGCCTGCATACATACTGACTTTGAAGATAAATCTTTTTCAGCTAAACAAAAGACTAATATTTAACTTACATTTAGTCTCCCTGTTAGTCTGGCTTAAGTAGCTGGGGCTTCTCCTCTTTGAAGACAGGCTCAGTTTCCTGTCAACATTTCAAGGTGGTACCACACTGGGCAGTCCTGGCAGCTGTGTAAACCCAGGGTTTGAGCTTCTTTACGCAAAGCCAAAGGTACAGTAAATCTGACATAAACAGGCTTAGTATGACTGTTCACTCTCTCTCAGAAATCAAACAAACATTATTTTGCTTAATATGGTGGGAATGATGATTGGCTGCATTATTCTTCATGTAAGCACTAATAAAAAAAATGATCATTTGAAAGCAACGATTAATTTGAATGTCTTTAAGGCACATCCACACACAGCTGTGGTGAAGATATGCACTCTAATAATTTCACCTCCCTGACTCATAATCCATGGATTTTTCTTTTTATAAACTCATACTCAACTGTCCCAGCGAGAAGCGGGACAATGTTTATACAGAGTTATGGCAACGCCCTCCCAAAGCAAAACCTTTTGACGGCATGTGAAGCAAATTAAACCATTACTTTTTTCCTAGAGCAGAGGATGAGGAGGGGCCTGGAAACATCAGGAAGGAGATGGTGTGAGAGTGCGGTATGTGTAGGAGAGGTGGAGGACAACAAACATCCCATAGTACCACTACATGCTGAAATTTCCCTTCATGTTAAATGCCTGTATCTAATTAAAATAAACACATCTCAGCTGAGACATTTTTTTGGACGCCTTGGTTTGACTTTAACTCGGGAAGTTGAACGCCGGTTTGGTCCCTCTCACAAATGATTATTGACTGGCCTCGCTTCCCTCACCGCCTTAAACGGTGAGTGTTGCTAAACTGGAATGTTTTATAAAGGAGCCTTGCCTCTCAAGTGGAGTGTACACCGTTTAAATCCTTAATGACAAGAAATGTCAACTGAATGTTTTATGCGGCCTCACCTTCAGCTTTTGTGCGGCTGCTTATAATGCGAACGTAAACGCAGCTGATTTGCAGACACCGCGCTTTGCAGCACACCATATAACAGCTGCAAAGTTTCTGACTTGCTTCATTAAAAATTCCAAATGCTCTTTAATTTGACGTTTACTTGCTTACTGAACTCAAGTGTTTCGAATCCAATTTCAGTTGAAAATAAAGGTTTACCAAGCAATAATGTTTAAGTCTCAAATTAAAGCACTGCAATTTATTTTAATCTCATTTTAAATGACCTCACGGTTAATAATCAGGAGCTTTAGAATAATACTTTTTTCTTGAAAATACACTTATTTGCTGTCTTACTAAGCGTTAGACGAAGGCTTCTCCTGTTTGTTCGCTAAACATGGGATTACATCCAAGAGGTGGTTAGAATATTACTGTTATAATTGTTTTTTATGCCTTTATCACGTCTCGATTATTGTAATTAATTCACTTTGTTCACTAGTCTGAAGGAAGCTTCTTTGTAGCGTCTGCAGGTTGTTCAGAGGCTTCTGTCTAAGTCTTTTAAGTACTCACATGTCACACTGTTACTAATTCAGTTACACTGGCTCCCCATTAACTTTTGGGTCCACTATATGATTGTGGATTAGACTTTTAGAGCTCTGCATTGACACAAACCAGCATACATCAGTGAACTTTTACATCCATACATGCCCAACCTGTCCCCGAGGTCATGCAAGCTGGGCCTGCTGGCTGTGCAGGATACAAGGCTGAGAACTGAAGGGGCATTGGCTACTGTGGCCTCCAAACAAACAACTCGACCCTTCTGAGAGAGCCTGAGAGCTGTGGACCCAGTGATCTCTTCTAAAAGGCAGCTAAAATTGATCGATAAAAATTGATTATTGATTAAAACTCATTAATTGGGTAACCTTTTGTTTTGACGTTTTAGCATTTTTGTTGTGAAGCAGTTTGTGATATTTCTTTTGAAAGGTGCTAAAGTTTTACTTGCCTGCTTGACAGTATGAATGTGAGCAGAGGGAGCTAAGCATGCTATTTGATGGTGGGTAGGTGGATTAGAGTGGGCATATATGACTATAGAAAAAAAAGTTGCTAGAATCTCAAATCCAGTGGTCAATTTTCTTCCACTTATGCAATACAGGTTTTGTGGGGGTCATCCCTCAATCAACCTAATCCCCAAGCATGTCTTTGGACTGCAAGAGGAATCCCATACGACACTGCGAGAACATGCAAACTCCAAACAAACCGTCCTTGAGTCTAGGATCCTCTTGCTGTGAGGCCCCAGAACTAACCACTGACTTTGTCCAGTCATACTGTTCATACAGTATGGAGTGTAGATTAACACAGATCCACCAAAGAAAGGATTTCCATAATGAAATCACTGTTGCTGTCAGGGTCCTGGGACTGGGCGACCCAGGATCCCTGGGCAGTCATGGACCTGTGTATTATTATTATGTATTTTTGGTGTCGTTTCTCCTTCTCTGTGCGTGTACATATGTGTGTTTCTCTGTGCTGTGTTAGTCTGTGTCCCACTCATATGTTTAGGCGAGGTATGGGTGTGTATGTCTGCGGGTGTGCCTGGAGGATGGAGCTCGGCCACCTGCAGGCCTGAGGGGTGTGGCCCTGCGGAGGGACTGGCCACACCCGAAGCCACACACCTGCCGCTGATCAGGGCTCGTCGGGGGAGCTACTTAGGAGAGTCTTGGAGCTCCCACCGACGCGGGATCATTGAGTTATCGTACCAAGTTAGTGTGTCAGCATATGTCTGTGTTGTTCGTATATGCCCGCCGAGGGTTAGTGTTGACGGCTGCCTCTATGGTTTCCCTGCAGGAGGAAGAGTGGTCCAGAAAGGCAGCACGCACGGGGTGTGCGGAAACACAACAGCGGGGAGCACGAGCACAGACGTCGGAGGGAAGCACGCACACGGGGTTCAAGGGAGCAACGGGGAGTTATTGTGTTTACAGCTTTCCACTGTAAATAAAGAGCACTGTTTGCATCGCAGAGTCTGCGTTTTGGGTCCTCCTTTCCCCACATCCCCACGGTCTGCCCTCCAGACCATGACAGTTGCACTCATTTTCTCAGGCTGCCTAATATTTGTAACCCATCTAGCCACCAAGCCCTCTGAGATGAATTTGGCTGTTGCCTCTGATGGACCGCGTTACCATCATGCTGTACGCATTGATCTCATAAACAAAAGAACAGAGTACCGAGTCATCTGACTATCGACACGTGCTCATATAAACGGTAACATCCAGTGAATGTGATGCATCTGGGTCTGTGTGTGTGGTAGTGTGGAGTATATGGGGGGGAGGGCTGAGGGCATATGAGGGGAGAGGATCACCATCATCTCATCTCAGCCGTTTACACTCTGAATGTTCTTATGTAACCCGTGAATATTGGAGATTGAATCAATTGGACTAATGCAATCCAAAGAGATGCGGTACACACAAATGCATGTGTCACTTCACAGGTCTGAGATCGCCTGCAGAAATGTTCCCTCGGCTACGACACTGCAAAAAAAGCTGCAATCATCACTCAACGTAAAGCAAACTGAATAATTATGGAAATAAATTACAGGAAAGGATAAAGACAAAAATCATTCAGCAGCATAAAAGCAATGTAATATGTGTAATACATACCTTGGAATTATTTTGTATGACATATGGGGACAGTACAAACTCTAATAGCAGTGAAGTAAACAACACTTGCAATGAAGTCACAGTTAGATGGCACGTGACTAACAAACACTGCATCAATTTTTCCTTTGTTTTTGCCGCGGGTCAAATAAATGACAAAGATTTTTAATGTTGCAAATCTTTGCCACTGAAGAAAAATCACTCAAATGTAGCTTTTTACATTTTTATTATAGAGATATGGCATTAAAGCAGCATATCAGTTCCACGCTATAACCGTGGCACTTTCCATCTGTTGTTGCCAGTAAGTCAGAAAGTTGAACCTGAAATATCAGAATGGGTCAAGGCTGCTACCCAGTGGACACACTGTGGCAGTGCAGCACATTTTCCAACTGAGGACGTTTTCACTGTTAAACTTATTTGAAAAGCATAGACAGCTGTATATTTTTTTTCATCATGGTGATGTAATTAGTTTGGATGTACTGCTTTTGTTCCAGCGAACACATTCTTGTTACTGCTGTACTTATATTATGCAGTGCAGTGAAATTTGGTTTGAAGCTCTTACAAAAGTTTAGAAGATTAAGTTAAAGCTATAAAAGTATCCAATAACTACACGGTAGCACAATAATACTGTGCACCAGTTCAGCAGGATGAGTAAAGTGGCATGTGCCACAACATCTAGTGTGAAATTAAATAGTTGATGGATCAGCAATACAGTGTGTTACATTGGAAGGATATTTCCAGTCTTTATTCGTTCTTGGCCTGGTTCCGAGCAGCCACAGCTCTGGGGGGAAGCTATTGTTCAGCCTGGTTGTGTGGGTGCGACAGATGGCAGTAGTTCACAGAGGTGAGGGCATGGGTGTGTGGGGTCCTCACGGCTTTCCTGAGACACCGATTCCTAAAATATCTGAATGATCCCTCAATCAGCTGACACACACGTTTTAAGCCATTCATTATTCATCTGACATTTTAATCAGAATCTTAGGGAACAGTCTAGTTAAATAATAACCTTTATAAAGTACTTTTGGTATGTGAGCAGAGAGCACATTTAGTGGTAGTTATCTGTCAATTAACTCAGGATAAAGAACAGTCCTTTCCACCTATTCCAGCTTACTTAACAACATTAAGTAAGGTGAGCCAAGTTAAACAGCTTTGGAGAGATGCTATCATCATGAAACTGAAATGTACGGATTTAAACTTGTACTAAAAACAACATTTTCATGTGAACTGAACATGTCTTTTCAACTTTGAAGTTCAGTTGTTACAACAACACCGTCGTTGTTGTTTGCTCGTCTAAAAGTCATTCGATCTTTAAATTTTTCCCATGATGGCAAAGCTCGCTTCTGCTTAACTCTTGCTGCACATTGTTTGGATTTTGTTCAAGCAGCCCATCACTATGGGTCTGGTTCAGAGTGTTTCTGAATATAACTATACAAAAGGATTTTGTTCCATACAGAGGGACAGAAAATTACACATCGGGAAAGCATTTTTAACACCACGCTCAAAAGATCAGGGCGACAAGAAGGACAACGCTGTCAAATAACTGGAGCACAACAAGAAAGCCAAAGTTTAGTTTAAACTGGAACTGCACAAACAACTGTCGAGGCATTTGTCATAAAAGCAGTACAGTTCAAAGCTGAGGTGATGCTGACAAATGCTTTGTCATTTTAATTTGACTCAGACAGTAAACACAAACTTTTTGGCACGATTTGCTAAATGCTTTGAATGCTTTAAAAGTTTGAATAATTTGAGCTTTCTAATGAATTTTACTGAGTTTTTTCAACACTAGGACTGAATATATGCTACGCTGTGCTGCACAGGTGTTTGTTAGATTATGCCCAACCCCCTTTATATGCAGTGATACCAGTAAGAAGGATCTCTGTTTGCACGGACATTCAGTCTCCAGAGGCTCCTGTGGCTATCAGCAGTGTTGCAGTATTGCATTGCAGCATTAGAACCCCACCCCATTTGTTTTTCGCAGCCAAAGTCTGTGTCATTCTCCAGGCATCTCCACTGACCAAAGAGCCCGAAGGACTTCCACATCTAACGTGTGGATGAAGAAAGGGACTGAACTGCATTTATTAGGGCTTTGTTTTTTTTTACCCTGGCTTTTTAAAATGAAGCTGTAATGCCGCTTTGTGTCGTGAGAGTTTTCTGTCATGTGCCTCAATACAAAGCTTTAGTTATCTGAAATATACACTGTACCACTGCCTCACATTGGCAAAAATATACAGCTGCAACCACATATGCACACACGCCTGCATGCATGCACGCACGCACGCACGCACACTGTAAATAAATACAGAGTACAGTGACACACGCACGCACACCTCCTTGGCACTAAATGCCTCATTTCTTTTTTCAGTGGCACCTCACAAGTGATGACATGCTGGAGACCAGGAGTCACAAAACTCTCACACGCACTCACACACAGACATACAATCTGCCCAGGAAGGGACGGGAGCAGGTGGCGAGCCAGGAGTGTGCTTAAGTTCTGGCTGGGTATTTATAACCTGCAGGAGTAGGGGGCTGTCGCCTCTAAAAGCTATGAAAATGCTCAAAATAGGAACAAGAATTAGTTCAGATTTTCATTTGTGTGAAAGAGAGGAAAAACTCTTCCCCCCCCCACCAAAACCAAAAAAAACCCAAACTTCTGCACTGTTGGTTGCATGTACAGATTCACACACTTCATTCTTCTCCACTTCATATGAGTCCGCCCATTCAGCTGGGACTATGTCATCATAATTTGGCATGCTCTGACACACACACACACACACACACACACACACACACACACACACACAGAGGAAAACACAAGCAAGAGATATGAAGCCGCAAATGATCTAATGTTTTTGTTCCAGCAATATCTCCAATATCAGAGAGAAACTACACACTCGTCACACAGATGTCTGAGCTTTCAGCTTCATTTCACTGTGTTTTATTAAAGATGCACAACTTTTTTCATTTCCTATTTACCTTTTTTGTTCTTTTGCTCTCTTCTAACACTGACACAGAGCATGCCACAATATGATTTACTCTAACATGTGAGAACACACATATTCCAGTGCGCATACCAGGAGGCTTCATGCATGTGGAAGTGTAGCTTGCACCTAAATCCATAGATGTTCCTAAATAGAGGCTGCAGACAGGCAGGCGGTGGGTCAAAACCAGACAGTAACTTATACCACTTCCTCCTGAACCTTTGATACCCGAGGAACATCATTTAACAGCGATCGCATGAATCCTCCCTTCCGCTGCTCTGCATACCCCCCTTTTTTCTTGGTTCACTGTTGATGACTGTGGTTTTAGTTTACAGTTTATTAGCTTTCTTAGCTCACAAGCTTCTGAGAGAGGTCTAAAAGGAACATGCCAAACACTTTGATCCCTTCGGTATGCACACTTCTGTTTATGATGTGCTGCTGGAATATTTCATAAGAGAGACAGAGCAGCTCTGGAGTCCAGGCCTCGTCTAATTTGGAAACGCAGTGGCAATTCTTTGGATTCCTTTGGTTGTTATCAAGCATGTGATGAGTGTATAAGTTCAGCCTCTGCTGCTGAGTCAAATGGCAAAGCAGATCGAGCGGGTGCTGTGGATGTAAAGTGAGAGCTAGAGTGTTTCAAACTGACTTTAACAGCTGATCTCTAATGACCTGTGATTTTACTTTGTGTTTATCTTCAAACTGCACACGTTTGAGGATGGAACTGTGCACAACCAGCGTGTTGATGGTTACTCACTTACCTCAGCAAGCTGAAGGATTTCAGGAGGTACCTCAGGGTCTGCCTTCACAGGGATTCCTCCAGTTTCTGTGTCATGTGCGTGCTTTTGTATCCCCACAGTGCTCGTACTGTGAATGCACCCCATTCTTGCAGCAAACACGCCTCTTGCACCTCTAATCTTTAAATTTCCTCAGCTCCTCGCGAGTGATTTCCTCTTCTCTTCCACCCCTTTCAGCACTTCATGTTTTCTCTCTTCTTGTTCTCCAGCATGTTCCTCCGTCCTTCTCAGCGACTCCTCACACCTCTGTTCTTCGCCTCTGACGGCTTACCCTGCCTCGAAACCCACCCCAGATAACTTTCCACCCCCTGACTTCTCTTCTTACAACCGCTCTTTCTCCCTCTGTCACCAAGAACCTACCCTTCAACCCGCATCCCCTTACACTCCCCCTGCGCCCCTTGCTCTCTGACTATCTTCACTCTGAAAACATACAAGCATACACTCACCGCCTCTCTCTTCCCTCCCGCCCCCCTCCACCGTTTCCACTTGCTAATAACTCCTTCTCTCCAGCTTACAGACCCTCAAATGTCTTGTGCTCTACACTTACAGACCCTCCAGTCTTCCCTGTCTCTCTCTCTCTCTCCCTCCCTTGCTGTGCGGGAGAAGGGGGCAGCTGTTTTGGCTTGTTGATGTCAAACCCTTCCCTTATGCTTTGGCTTTACTGCAGCTCCTCTCACGCTCCTCTTCCTCATGGGAGAGTGATTAGTTTGAACCTCTTTCACACATGTCATCCTTCTGGTCTCTGTGGCTTTGCTCATGAGAACTTAACTGCTGGCTTGATAGCACTGATCACTCTTCTCCCTCTCCGCATTGTTTCGAGAAAAAGTCTTCTATCTCGGCGTGTCCCATGGGCGTTTATGTAGCCTAAAACGTAATCAGCTTCACCTCCTTGTTTGACAGGACAAATGACATCATCACCGACCTCGCTTTATTTCCTCACTTGGATGCAGCTCTCTCTCTCCACTGAAATTAAAACAATGACACATTCTGTGCTTAAATTTTAGATCTGTGTTCATTCCTTCAGACTACAGCTCTCTCTTTCTGTTACACACACACACACAACTGTAATCCTCAAACTGGGCTCCCCAGACAAAATACTGCTTCAATCTGGGGGTTTTTGCAGTTGGGAGGGGAAAAGCTTCAACAATAAACTCTTTTTAAAGCCACATTTTTAGGGCTTGGTTAGGCTGTACAAAGCAGTCTTTGGTTTAAATGTGAGACAAATCTGTGGCCGGGAGCTAAATTGGGCATCAAATCATCAGCATCTACAGCAGCAGTGAGAAGAAATCAGTGATAGTGAGAGATTAAAAGCTGTATGCTATAAATTCAGATAAAATCAAGGCAGCTTTCTTTGAAAACTTAACGTGTGGACATGAACCTCTGTCATTTTGTGGTGTGAAGTGGAAAAGGGTATGGAGGACCCTCCTGTGTGTGCCATCCTCTTAACTGTCATGGCGACAGGTGTGGGGGCTGGTTATGTGTGGATACAGTGGGGGATACAAGTATTTGATCACCTACTTGACCTATTTGTAAGTTTGCTCGATTTCAAAGAAATGAACATGCTTTGACTTCTATGGTAGTTTCATGTTAAAAGGGAGATACTGAATATCAACCAATAACCCAGAAAAAAACACATTACACAAAAGTTATAAATAGATGCATGTCAACGAGTGAAATAAGTATTTGATCATTTAGTACTTGGTGGAGAAATCCTTGTTGGTGTGATCTTTCTTGTAGTTGGTCACCAGGTTTGCACACATCTCAGGAGGGATTTTGGTCCAGTCCTCTTTACAGAAACTTGGCAGCTCGAAGCTTCAGTTTCTGCCACAGATTTTCTATCGAACTGAAGTCTGGAGACTGGCTAGGCCACTCCATGACCTTAATGTGCTTCCTCTTTAGCCACTCCTTTGATGCCATCTTCAGTGTTCTGACTGAAGGAAGGAGGATTTTACACATTTTGCTTTCTCCCAAATCTTTCCTGAATGATTTAGATGCTCATTAGCAAACTTAAGATGAACCTGTACAACTGCCTTCTTGAGAAGGGGGACCGTACCACGATTTCAGTCTATTACAATCAGTGTTGGGTAAGTTACTTTAAATTAGTAACTTAGTTACATTACTAGTTACTTCTATCAAAAGTAACTCAGTTACTTCAAGTTAATCGTTACTTTCAGAGTAACTAGTTACTAGGGAAAGTAACTTTGGTTTTACTCAGAATTCTCTTGTTAATGTGTTTCTTCCATAACTTTGCCGGTCTTCTAGCTTGCTTACTTGCCACAAGTGCACTGTGCCACCTACCAATAGAAAGGAAAAAATAATGTGCACATTTCCACGAGAGAAATCCCACGCCTGATTCTATCCTAGCCTGCTTTTTACATCCAACACAAAAACTGCAGTCGTGGTGCTTTCGATTGTACTCAGAACTCGGAAATTCTGCCTTCTGAATAGGAAGATGTAGGTAACACCAGACTGAAGATGAGCTGCATACAGGGCTGGACTGGGACAAAAAAATCGTCCCGGGCATTTTGACTAGAGACCGGCCCACCATTATAGGAAAAATCATAAAACCTTTGAATGAAAACAAACGCTGTTGTGACAGTGATGTACACTGTTCTGATGGTATATATGCATCAATCTATCAATTGTTTGTTGTAAGACTCAGATAATTATTTTTTTAAAAGTGAGACATTTTAGAGAATAAGAAAGTATTTCTTTGTGCCCCCCTTTCCCTTTTAATGCCCTACATGGACCCCTGGCAACACTTTGCTAGACCCGCCCCTGCACAGTTACCAGCTGTCAGCTACTTAGAAAAGGATCCTGGTGTTATTTGTCTCTCAGAAACAGTTCATAACTTCCCTTCAACTCATTCATGTCACCTAAAAGGTAAACCTGTTTCTTCATCACAGCTCTGATGATTCAGTAAGGACGTCTCCTGGTTTCATCTTCATGTTTCCCTCTCATCACATAACCAAACCGATATCATGACCAGCAGGTTTACAGCTGTGGCTCCAGCCAACATCAGCTGATACTAGAAACTAATATTAAATAAATTCTAACAACAGCTGATCAAGCTTAAACGTGCTGCTGTTGTTTAGCGCGACATCTGCTGGTTTCCTCTTTCTGGCGCAAAGTGGGCGATAAATAAACAAGAGAGAAAAGCCGATCAGCTGATCATTGATCGGTTTCATGATTGAAGTAGAAACAGGAGAGGGAGGGTGAGAGGATGAGAGAAGAAGAGGCAGCTGTGCAGCGTAAACACAGAATAACTCCAGCTTTGTGTCTTTTTCATTGTAGCTGAAACATAAACTGTGTTCCTTTTCACCTCAATACGAAACGCATGATATTTTCTCTGAATACCAGACGATTCCGTTTTTTACGGGACGGTTGGCAACTCTAATAATTAACCTTATGAACAAAATAAAGTTCAACATCAGTAACATAGCACCCACCCAGCTGTATAGAAACGGATGATCTGATATCCTCGTGTTGGTGTTGTTCCCAGACCATCATGAAAATGTTGTTCCAGGTTCAACATTGCAAGTGACCAATCACATTGTTGTGACGTTATTCCTTTGCGCGCCAAGCCATTCGTGCATTTATGAAATTCCAATGTTGCAAGGACAATATTAATTCTGCTTACTGTTTATTAAAGGGTTACGGTTAGGGTCAGGGTCCGTTGATCGGCGGACAGAGGCGGTTTCACGCAGCTTAAGTACAGTTTTTTGTTTTAAGCCGGTTTTTCCCGAAGTCGCAAAAGTATGACGTCACAACATTCTGATTGGTCACATGCAATGTTGATCCTGCAACAACATTTAGTATGATGATCTGGGAACAACACCAACACGAGGATATCAGATCAACCCTATCCGGTTGTTCAGTCTGACGTCACTAGCCGTGTCTGGGTCTAAACTCCGCTGCAGGTCCATATATCAAACGATCACTATGGCATTACTGAGAGTTGAAAAACTGTCTAAAGTCTTTCATCTTTAATAAAATGATCAGCGTTCTGCTCTACCAGGTGTAACAATTGAGTTTAACATCCAGGCATCCATGAAAACGGAATTTATGACATTTAACGGAGTTAGAAGTTAGTAGGAAGTTAGCTCGCTAGCTTCTATCTAAATATAATATAGCATGTCCTGACTGCGGGGTTTTGGAAACAAATTAAAACGTACAGCTCTGTTATCACTTCCAGCATAAATGAAGACAGAAAACTAAACAGCAGTGACGTTTGTAGGGTTACTGAAGTTGGGCTAGCTGGTATATAATGGTGTGCTACGTGACCGCTAGCGACACAGCTATGTTAGCATAATATAAACAAACAAACTTTTTTTCCACTGGATAAAAGTTAACGTGAGTGTTCTCGGTGGTCAGGAACAAATGTAATTGCATGGCTGTAAAAGGACCAAACTTCAGCCAGGAGAACAACTGAGATAATCCATCCACAATACGAGGTTAGTCATTCATATACTGCTGCATGGGCTGGGCTGTAGTTACATCCTAAGGTTTTAAAAACTGAGCTTAAATAAATGATTAGCAGTAATAAAAGCAGAGGGAGGTCAACAGTGATCACTGACTGTTTTAGGAGCTTTTTGAGATCAAATAGAAGAAAATACATAACATTAAACATGTTAACAACACAAAAGCCATATTAAACGCAGACTACTTTAGACCCGGAAGTAGGATTCGTCGCGTCATCACTGAACAACCGGATAGAAACTCCGTCATGCTAGCTAGCACGCAGTACGAAAAAGTCAGCATAACGAAAATAAACTCCACCTAAACTTGGTTCATATCTGACCCAGATGGACTGCAGGTTATAACTTCTTACCTGAAGTTCAGTTCACCTGACACTCTCGGACCAGCGGCCGCTTCGGGTCTCTCCCCTTGCCTCCCTTTTCCTTCATCCACCTGCTGGCCTCCACCACTTGCTAATGTTACTGAATCTGTGGAAGCTCCGCGATAGCCACCACACGAAGTAACGAATAACGAGCCTATCTAAATCCCAGTAACGAGTAACGCGTTCCCGGTTTTGGCATAATAACTAGTTACCGTGCTCGTTACCACAATAATAACGTAGTTAACGCGTTAGTCCCAACACTGATTACGATGTAGAGTTTTACCAGATGTGACTGTGGTTCCAGCTGCCTTCAGATCAAGTTCCAAGTTTTGGACTGATCCACCATTAGCTCCATGAGCTAAGATCTTGCACAGAGCTCCAGATCAAGGGTGTCTGATGGTCATTTAAATTTCACTCACATATATTTCACTCAGTGACATGTAAATAAATTGAAAACATTTTAACTTTTGGTTGATATTCTGTCTTCCCCATCTCAGCACAACAAAGCACTCAGACCATGATTCTGCTCGCTAAAACTGCTCAACAGGACAGGTTATTGTAAAAAACACTGTTTTCCCCAATGCTCATGTTAAAACTATTTTCACTGAAACAGAGTACCACAATGAAAGGGCACTCAGATCTTTACCCAAGTAAAAGGAACAGCACTGCAGTTCATATAAATAATATGCTACCCCTCACTCTCCCAGTT